CTGAATTTAAAGCTGGATCCGCCCCTGCTTCAAACCCTTAATACAGTTAGAGAAAAATGTTCTAAAACGAAACCTGATGACAAATTTGAAAATACAAAAAAACGTAATTGACTAAATTTTAAAGCAAAATAATTAAAGAATTCCAATCAATTGTAAAAAACAACGAATTTCATCAAACACATTTGACAAGATGCAAAAGGAGCCATCGGCACGAAAACAGTAAAATTACAGAAAATTCGTTTTACTAACCCGAATAATTGTACTGCCTTTTCACAAACAAAAACAATAAAAATTAATTAAATTATTTTGCAATGGTACAAACTTTCTTGTTGATTGCTTGTTGCGAGATAAACATATCAATGAACTTTTAGCAGGTTTTGCTATAATTTGATTACATTGTCCACGAGGAGCGGAAAATTTTGAATGGTTTTTCTTATTTTCGACTAACTTTGTTACAAAACGATCAGAGAAAGTTGCTTAACTGAATGATTCCCTACCTGTAATTGTTTATCAAATCCTGTTGATTTCAGACAATGTGTCCCGTCTGCTTGGATCGACTGAAAAACATGATTTTCCTTTGCGGTCATGGGTTATGCCAAATGTGTGGAGACCAGATGTCCGAGTGTCCGATCTGCAGGAAAGCTGTCGAGAAGAGAATTCTTTTATATTGATTTTCGATGGCCGTTTAACGCAACTCTCCTCAACACACTTCTCCCTAAAGTATAAGGTTTATTAATCGTTTTTCTATGTAGTCCTGTTGACAAGGTACGGCATGTACGGTGCATTAAATATAAGCTGTATCGCATTAGCAATATGTGTAAATTTCGCCGCCTAAGGGTGAGAACAACATGTTTTATAAGGTTCTAGTGTATTCGACTTCAATATTTCAATATGTATTTAATACTTTCTAGTTAGTAAATAGTCCAAGTTTGTAAACGCAAGGCGAAAGTCCAGAATAAAAGTATAACAAATAATTCGCGTTGATCCAGACCTGAATTGGGTTTCAGGCAAGTTATTCAAAGAATACTGTACAGGAACACATAAAATTCTTCAGAAAGAGAAAATTCTGTTAATATTGTTCCGGGCTGTTATAATAGTTACACTATATGACTCAGCAAACAAACGTCAATAAAAAAATATTATTTAATAACTCTAACTCCAAAACATAAGCAAAATTCTAATCGTACTAAAAACCAGTTAAACGTAAATTAAAAATAGACACATTAACAAATGCAACTTGCAACTGATGCCTGCCACTCATGTGTTAAAGAAATGTTTATAACGAGTCAACTTTTGGTCTGGGAACACTTTCTTTCAATTTCTGATCATCGTCGTCATCTTCCAACTCCTGAGATCACTGTTCATTTGCAGGGTGTTCGGGTATTGTATCGGAAATACTCGTGTGAGTATCGTCTTGATCTCCGAGAGCAATTTGCAAAAAGTCGCTTTCCAACTCTGTAAGCGTATTTTCACATCCTATATGTAATGGGCAATCAAACATCTCCATTAACTTGTGCATCGGATATGGCAATCTGTTCATAAGAGATTCATCTAATTTCATGTTATTAATCATCGTAATATGTCTCTCTTTTGGATCCTGATATCCTGACGCCACATTTTCATCATTCTCATTGAGACTTGAAAATGATGTTCCCAGCTGACGATTAGTAATTTCAGAAAACGGCAAACTTTCAGCGGTTTCACTCGCAAACTGTGTAAGATATGTGTCTATAACTGCTTCTAAATTACTGTCGAGCTTTCTTGATTCACCCAGTTCGTCGTCCGATTCTGGAAGCAATTCAAATACCACCAGATTAAAACGTTTACTGATACTTGAATCAAAGAAACGATCCAAAAAACTACCAGAATATTTTAACTGATATTGATTCGAAGTCACCTCAAACCCAAATTGTTAAATTGTGATCTTAAATGCTGATATTTCTGTGATGCTAAAAGCGTACCTGCCAATTTCCTCAATTTTACTTGCACTGATTGCAACAGTTCTTCATTATTCGCCAATTTTGCCAAGTAAGCGGACATTTCCAACATGGGGACACTGGTTCTTCGATGCAACAGTTCGGCAGCAGCTGAATAATTTCCTGTTGAAATGTAACTGCAATTCAAATAATAAATTTAAGAAACCTAAATATTGCAAAAGTGTTCAATAAGTGCCTTACCAACAAGCTGTTTGCTCGTATAGTCCTTGAATATAAGAAACGTTTGCCCATTTAGTCAACGTACTTACGACTAAGGCACTATTTGCGCCGCATCTGGTTTTCGCTAACAAGAAGGCTTCACGAAACATCTGCTTTTCGCATAAGAAATTAACAGATTCTTCTACCTTATGGCAAGCTAACAGCAAACTGACAATTTGCATTGGATCGGATTCAGGCTCATCCATAAGTTGCGTTGCGTATATCTCGTACGCTTTTTTCCATAGCCTTCAAAATAAGATTTACTGCTACCTCACTGGAGATATAAAGAAGATAATCTATGCTTGAACGTTTCGATAAAACAAACGGAGTAGACGCTGCACAGCACACAAAACCCCAATTTACCTCAAATATTTGAGGCGAAAGTGTGGAGGACCATAATTTATATTCAAGAGAGCAAAACCGTTTATTATGTCGCGACACAGGGTTTGTCCAAATATCATGCACTGATGCAATCAAATAGTGTTTAGCTTACTTTGTGTTTACTAAAAGTTCCCTATTTATTTACGTACTTGGATTTTTAGTCATAAATGAAGCTAAATTAGCCCCTGTGATTGCGCAATTAATGCCTTAACAAAAAATATGTCTGCTTTCCCTCATAAAGCTGGATGAATAAACGCGGCAATACGTACTCTGATGAAACCAAAGGAGCCATCAAAATGTTCCATGAATCCACTCGCTTTTCTTCAACCGCCTGTTTGTATACAGTGCTAATATCTCCCTCGAACAGTGACAGCATATTCATGTGACTAAGCTGTTTGGCACTACGCAACTTTGAATCTAAAATTTGAATTAAAAAAACTGATGTAAAACTAGCATCTTTTGCAAAAAAACTTGCTTACAATTTATTTGAAACAAATCAGTCAGATGATCCTCACTTCCGAATACATGTAAAATATCAATATCGCTCTTTTTGCTATCTATGCCTTCACATTCGCCAGTTAACTTCCAAAGAAGCAGTTTCTTCATGTCTTCGAGCTAAGAGAAAATCAACAAAAGCAAAAAATGAGACTCATAGATTAGTCCTTAAAAACGTTTACCAGCTTTTCTTCGTCAACTGATCCACATAAATAGAAATGAGGGACAACTGGGGATTTTCGCGGAGTTTTAGGTGTGTTTGTTTTTGGCTCTTCTACTTTTGGTCCTTTGCTTTGGCCTGCCTTACTGCTAACGCGCCGCATTTTCTTCACTTTGTCTGCAATATCTACAAAATCCGAACTTCCAAACTGCTTTCAACCTAAATTTATTCAGTCACCTTCTGGGGCTACAGGAGGGTAGTCAAAATTGTAAAAAAATAGCATCTTACGAAGTTTGGTTCCTATGATTAATTTCAAAGCATCCTTGTGGGTATCAGGTGCCCAGTAGACACAAAGCAGAGGATCTAGCGCTGAACTTATGAAAGTATGTATGATGGCTTTTGCTTCAATGTCGAAAATCTATTATGAACAAGTAGAAAAATTTGATTATTTTAATTTAGCTGGAAAACAAGAGTTACCTGAGCCACTGAGTTGTCATCTATTAGAATTATTTGTTGGGCAACATGAGGATTCCATTTGATTTCATTTATTTTAGTGTTTTCGTAATTGTCAAACTTGGCGACCACTTTTTCCCCAAAATCGCCTGACTGTAGTAAACAAGACGAAATATAAGGTGGATTATAAATAACATTCATAGTTTTGTTACCTTGATCGACAAGTCGATTATGCACATATGGTTGAACTTCTCTATGGAAGCAAACATTTGGGAATAGACACTGTTGTTTCCAGCTTGATCTGCTTGAGGATGCCAAGCGATAGATTCCAGTTTCAATGACGAATAGAATACTTCGTCCAATTCAAACTTTTCAGAACTACTTAAAGAATATCTGAACATTGTTCCTGATTGAAAAAAAATGAAATAAACAGTGAGCACATTACGATTCAGCGATTATTTTCATGACGAGACAAGTTTTTGCATGTGAAAAAAACTCAAACCAAAAAAAAACAACAAAGTAAAAATAAATTCTCCTACCGTGGCAAAACGTTATATATTTTACGATACTAACTTATTTATAATTGACTTGAATATTCACCTGATTTTGAAAGTACCAACAAATAACTGAAATCTGGTTTCCACGACATGGAATAGATTTGAAGCCCATTTGGAATTTGCAGTAAATAGGGATCTGAAAACACATTTACAATTACAGATCAGAAGACACTTGATAGTTACTAGTCTTGACTAACTAGGCATGTTCTAGCCCAGCATAAACCCATTTAGCTTAGTAATAAAATATTGCTCATTTATCTCAAAGCTCATACACTATTATTTTTAACATTTCCCACTATATTGCTCTGTATATTTTTGATCGCCAGTTGAAACAGCGGCAACGATTTGGATTAACGAATTTACTCACCCCCAGTTCGCCCCCACACAAATATCGCCAATTTGCCTTCACTAACAGCAAACAGGTTGTGCTCATCGGTCGTAGACCTAAAAGGGCCCCACTCTAATTTGTGAATTTGCTCTTTGAAGTAATGTGGTAAAATTGTCGGGTTTTTTCCTTTGCTTACATCTATTACACCAATCTGTAGTTAGACATAAAGATGTATGTAATAATATGGGAAATTTACAGATTACAGATACAAAAAACAGATTTTTAATACAACAAAAATATACTAAAAAATTAAAACTCTTACTCTGCCTTCGACAGTGCCCCAGGCCAGACAATTTTCCTTGGAACTATGCCAGGCGAGCGCAGTAACTGCACCCAATATCTTCTCATAAAAAACTCCAGGATAATACGTCTCATCTAGATGTGAAATTTTCCATATGTGTACCTCCCTATTCGACGTGCCAATAGCTAGTCTGGAAGCATAAAATCGAAACGACCAATCCATCAAATGCAATAGTCCTACCTGTAAGGATCCATTGGAGACACAGCACAGCAGGAGGCACTTCCTCCGCCAGTACAATAAATAATGTTGCGTTTTGAGTTAGACACATCGTAATTTACAAGTAGTTTTTCAACACCTATCGACCAAGCAGTCAGTGAACGATTCTGCAGGAAGTTATACTCATTGCAGTATGTAATAGGAGCTGCAATTGCCGTCAGAGCTTTATAATGCAAGTCATGAAGCAGTTGGCTCTCCGTCCTTTCACTGCAATGAAAAACATGGTAGCTTATCAGAAGTTAAAATTGGACTATTGTTACTCTGAGGGTTTAGGAAGGGTCCACTTGACAAGTTTGGCAGATGCATTTGATGATAGTAAAATATTTGGAGATATCCAACACACTGTGGTCCAACATACCGCTTTCCTTGCGGCAAATTTATTATTTGCGTAGGTTTTGGATGGCTTCAGCAATGTCTGCAATCTCCCATCCGTTCCAGCACGCCAAATATAAATGTTGCTACAGAAAAGAGGAATCAGATGTAAAACGCTTTGGCTATTACTGAGAAAACGTACTCTTCTTGAGCAGAAGAAGCTAGTAAGTATTCCTTTCGCGGCTGCTCTTCGGTACATACTGGATCCTTATTTTCAGCCCTCCAATCTGGAATTTTCTGTGGGGCCAGCGCGGCTAATTCTTCTGAAGACCTGCATAGAAAGAAAAACTTTTACGTTCGATACCACTGTGAAGAGCTTGATAATATTCACTGTATGTCTCCGTGAACTGGCCCATCAGCGGCTATGTTTGATTGATCTTGTTCGTCAAGAGCTGTTTCCGTTTCAGAAATTTTTGAATCTTTTGGGATTGTTTCTAAAATGAGCGGATGCGGTTCATCACATAGTGTAAGATCCATTGATAATACTCTTCTATCTGTCATCGAATCCGTATCCCGCTGCATCTCTGACACGGACGACGTACCACAACTGATATTTTCTAAGCTCAATGAAGCACTCAATTCTACATCTCTATTAGTATCTTCCTGGTTTTGGCTGGTCATCAATTGACTAGCCAATTTTTTCTCTTTATTATTTCTTTTTGGGGCTTTTGTCAATTCCTCTTCACTGTTAGCGCCTTCCTGACATGCTTTTTCTGGTAATGACTTAGCTCCCCCTGCATTGTCATTAAGTGCCTCCGAAACTTGTGGTATTGCAACGTTTTCAATGAGCTCATCATTATTACCCAGTGGTGTGCTTGAAGTGGAATTCAACACTATACTATCATTGAATGTTGAGGACTCTTGTATCGGAGGCGTTCGCTGCTCTTGAACCGAGTCAACGAACTTTCTGCTACATAAGTTTTCGACTTGAGCAATTTCCAGTTCAACGCCATCAGAACCTTCGTTTACTGCCCCTGCTACCTTGTTAGAGTCGCCCTCAATGCCGACATGAGCTACTTCACTTTCTACTGAAGGGTTTAAAATTTGTTGAGCTTGGCTTTCCCTCGTTTTTTCAATAACCCGCATATTTGGTGTTTTAGGGAAAATATTAACAGGAGCCGGACACCAAGATAAGGATAACACCTTATGTGCGTGGCCTCTCAAAGTGAAGAAGGAAGCACCTGGACCTTTAAAACGAGCAAAACATTAGCATATGGAAGACAGTTTTTAGTCTCTTAAAAATTACCTCGTATGTCCACTACGACTATGAGTCCATTCTTCATGCCCAACGCTAACAGCCAACTAGCATGAGGGCAAACGGAAAAGCAAGTAATCGGTGACTTCCTAACAACTTTGTTTAACAAAAAAATCGTCTCCGTTGTCTCTTCTTTTGCAATATTCCACACTATTGCCTGCCCACTTTCGAACACAACAACCACTCGTTCATCTCCAGCAAATGCGGCGCCCACAACGGTACCATCTTTTGACTGAAAATTGACCAAATAACATTGATAACATTCAGATAAATTGTTGTGTTTCTTACAAATTTGCGCTGCGTTTTTTTCTCTAAACGTTCCACGTCCCACACTTTAACAGTGTGGTCAATTTCTGACGTGCTGACCGCATATTTGTATGGTAATCCCCAGTTTCTGTTAATATTAACACTAATAATCCTGAAAATCAAAATTTAATTAATGTTATGAAGGTTGCCATAACACACACACACACACACAGTTTTTTGAATATATTAAAGAATGGACCATTTTACAAGGTTTGCGCCATTCATGATTCGCACATTGATTTGACTAAAGAGGTAATTTTTATCTTGTAAAAGATTAAATGCTGGTGAATGTCGATAACGACTTTGTTTTACCCAGACATCAATCTGAGGTTTTACTTAATCCGGCAAATTCCAGCACTCGAAGAGTGCAAAAAGAATTAACCGCACTGGCTAAAGTTGAATTTTTAGTACGTTTGAAAGTTGTTGTGCAAGCCTCAAATCAATGCGTTATTTTATAGTTAAATTTAATGTCTTAAAAGCTTATATCTT